AGCCCTCTATCCCTTGGCAGCTTCTTTTGTTCTAGTCCCTTTGGCTAGTAATCTCCCTAACCAGCCACATGCCAATGGAACATCCAGGTGGCTTGCACTAGACAGAGCTCTGTTGTCCATGCGTTTTCATTTGATTCAAGTAGCTGGTGGGTTTATGGCAACAGCCCATTATCCAACATGTCCTATTTACTCATTTGTCCACTAATCTGACTCTTTATTATAGTTTTGACCGTGTTTTCTGGTACAGATACCAAGTTTACTTGATATCCACTCTTCTCTAGACCCCTCGTGCTCTTTTAAAAATTGCTGTCTCATTTGTCATCCCACGGTCTGGTACCAAGGTAGTTTTAAAGAAGCACTGCTGGTAATGATTCAGTTCAATTGAATGAATAATGAATCAAGTTCAGTTCTGTAGGCAGTACAGCCTGTTTGTTTACTGCATAATTTTCCGTCACAGCTGATAACGTGGGAGTCCTCATCGGTTGCTCAATTCCAGCTCCAGCACTTCTGCTTTGTCTGTTGGCAGCGGTAATTTTATGGGATATTGAGATAATCAGGCTGTCTCCTGAGTATTCAGACCTCTCTTAAGGGCTGCTGGTTTCACCTCTCTTCTGCCACTGTTTCAAGCATCTCATACATGTCTGCACTGGAAGAACTGGAAACTCTGCAAGCAGCGCCTAGCAGATGAGCTGATTTTGCATTAATGCCGCTGTCCTCCCTTGGACATCCCGTCATGCTTCCCTGCGTGGCTCACGTGGCAGAGCGTGGCGGTTGCTGAGGAGCGAGGGGGAGAGCTCTGTTCGTGAGGAACACTGCAGACTGCAGCTTTGTCATTGCAGGGATGAACGAGATGATGAAACTGCTCAACTGCAAGACAACGGTGTTGTTCTGAGCTCGGAGTTACGTGCTGTTCCTCGTCTGTTTGGAGTGTATGGGTGCTGTGACATGAAGACTGAGACAAATTCTGTACATTTGCTGTGTGTTTCTCTTGCTCTGCTTTCCTATTCTGCATGTCTCTTTTAACCCCGCGGGTGCTGGTCTCTGAACCCGGTGGATGTTGGCCTGTATTCATCCCCTTTCATGCTGTCAGGAGGTAGCTGCACACATTATAAACCAGCAGACAGCAGCTAGGGAGAAGATTGCTGGGTGTCCTAGAGGTCCCTTGTGTTTGCCTCATTGTGTCCTGCTAATTGCGTTGGTTCTGCTGTATTACCAAGTGTTCAGAAAAGATATTTCTTTCGGAGAATTCATATGGATCTCGAGTCCAGCTGTCAGATAGAAAGCCGTGTATCCTGTCTCATGTGAGCACTCCTCTGGCATTATACTTTTACAAAAGTCATGTTTTAACCACACAGATTTGCTTTAATTTATGTCATCTAATGTCTCTACTTGCACATCTTGTCTTTACTCTCTGCAGCTCAATGTTATTTACAACACAAAACACACTGATCAGAGGCTCAGATCTGTCCGAAAAAAAGAAGCCTTTGACTTGACTGTTGATGTAAAGGATGACAAAGATGATAAAAACCGTTTGACCTTGAATGTGTGCACAAGGTAGGTAATTCAGCTGGAGCATCGCATAGACCTCTTTGTCTATACGGCATTTAAATTATTTATAATGAGCTAAATTAGCCATTTGTTTGTATGGATTTAGTAATGTGTGTGATATAAATGTATAACTAAAGAGAATAAAATAATCACTTTGCAAAACCAGCAGTAGTTAAACTAAGAAGCAATTCCTAAGTCAGTAAATAGTGGTAGATCTTTTGTGCTAAATTGTTGCTGGCCAGGTCATATTTTTTTTACTGCTGTGCATAAAGGTAGTGGTACCCTAAACGTTAGGGGTATATGGAAGAGCTTGTGTGAAAGAAGAAAAGCTTTTCTTGAGCTCAAGAAAAAGCTCAAAGGCTTCTTTGGTACAAGTGCTTCTCAGCTATATGGAGAAATGTGGACAGGTTTGAAAATTAAACCAATGTCTTCCACATTCTAACTTCTAGTAGCAGACTGTGACAGCTACCCATTGCTCTTACCTTTCATGAACAGAATGCTTTTGCTTTTGATCTAGAAATAGATTTTTTTTTTTTTTTGGTAAAAAGAGAAGGAAGATCTGAAGTGCTGAAAACACCATGAAGTAGAAATAATCGTTCTTTGTGCATCTCTCTTAATAAACTTTGCTCAGAAAAATTTTGGTAGGAGTCAAAATCCATGTTTAGATAAATTCAACTGGGGTTTTGTCTTATTGTGCAGGTATCTTTGTGGGCTTTCATTTGTCTTACAGTTATGAATTTGGTAACATAATACAATGTAAGCATCATTCCAGGGTTAAAAGATGTGATGAGTTTTCCAGTCAGGCTAATCTATTCTTGCTGCTGAATAAGGGAGGGGGAGGTGTGCGTCTGGGATGATGTTTCTTGTTCAGCAAACACTAAGAACTGAGCTGAGGCTGCTGAAGTATCATCTCAGAGACCCCAGAACAGCCAGCAGATGTTACCTGGGTAGAATTTGGATCAGATGAGAACAGGTGACATTGAGCAGTCACATTGCGTATTCCTAAATCAGCCCGTTGTTAAACCACTTTGTTTCACTGGCTGCTCTGCTGCCTCATTGGACTTGCTGTGAAAGTGTTTATACATGTCTTTAAAACAGATACAAGAAGATGTTTGTTCTTTGGCAGTTTCTTCAGTATGCACTTCTTCTTGTAGTTAGAGAGCACTGTATTTCACGGTAAACCCTATATGACATTGTATCTATATATACTTATGGTTTTTTATCTTCTGTCTTTTGTTATCTACAAGGATGCTGAGGTGACTACATTCTTTGTATTTTAGGATTTCTTTCACCTGTTTGTGAATACTTCCTCTAGAAACACTGTTTTCTTGTGACATTATAATGGGTTCCTTGTAAATGCAAAGTACCACCTGATCCACTGTGATTACTCTTGCATTCCTTTCCTCCACATCCTCTTTTTGTTACTTATTTAAACTTTGAACACTGTGTACCTAGAACTATTTTTGTGCTCTGCCTGCCACGAGGGAGCTGTGACTGGAAACGGAGCCTCTAGGTGACACCATCATACAAATAATCAGCGATATGATGCAGTGCAGGGAGGATTGATTTAATCTGGGAAGCAGCCAGCAGGCACAAAGCCAGAGCCGTTTTGATGTGTTTCTGGTGACCAATTCAGTGATACAGATGGTGGGCAGGGACACTAGAATACATGAGAGATCTTGAAATAGAATGGGCTTGTTCTCTTCTAAAGTTTTCTATGAAATGTCAACAGCTTTCTGAAGTCTCACACAAACTCCTGACATGCGAAAGGCCTGCGTGATGGGTCTGGGGTAAGTCTTGGATGAGCATTCTGATTTTCTAGCTAACACCTTTGGCTCAGGAATACAGGCAGGAAGGGCTCCATCTCTCTGGGAAGGCACTGGGGTGATGGTGTTTAAGTGTTCAAAAGATAGGGGAAAATCTAGTGGCATTATAAAACTGCCCCAGGAGAATATTTGGAACATTAAGATCCATCGGCTCTTGTCACGGTAAGTGGCTGGGTATAAGTCCTGGTAAGTCTGCATTTCTATTCTTTAGGCTGAGACTTTGTCTACAGTTGGTTGGCCTGATAGACTAGTCACCCTCATCTTTTTTTCCATATATATTGTATATAATGTATACACTATCTGTATGAAATTCTTGAATTAGTTTAAAGTTGGTCTACTTATATAATCTTTACAATGATGAGGTTTTTTGGTAGAGAAACCAAAGTAGGCAAATGCAGAAAGACTGATGAAGTCTCAATGAGTGTAGGTAGCTGTGGGTATGCATAGTCAGAGGCTGCAGCTTTGCAATTTTTTTCTTTCTATAACCTGCATAACATAATATTCCAGCTTCTTTTGACCACTTTGATAGCGATTTGACATGGTCATCTCAACTGGGTATCATTTATGACGCTGGAGCAGATGATGTCTCATTCAAATTGAGCTGATTCTTGGCTAGAGGAGCTAACCCACTGTCTGGGAGGCAAATACCCAGGACTGCCAGTTTCTTCTCTGGTCACTCTTGTTGCCTGCATACCATTTCCACGCATAGGAAACTGATCGCTGATGGTTCTACTCACTCTCTTGTTTATGCTTTCTGCCTACACTAGCTTGGTGTTGTTTTCTCCTCTTTGTATCATCTATGGTCTCACATAGATTTCATATTGCTGAAGAGCTGAAACATAAAATTCAACTCAAAACATTCTCAGTTATCTTCATGTACAAGTTTCAAGTCTTCTTTCTTTCTTTCTTTCTCTTACTGGTCATTTTTCCTGCATGGTGATTTTTTTTTTTCTTTTTTAAGAGACCATGGAGTTGAAGAGACGATACCGGGAGCCACAAGGCTGTCTCTCTTCTGTGTTAAGAGAGCCAGATCCTCATAACCTCTAGGGATGTATCTTCTTGACAATACCAAGCTGGTTGGTTACCAGTTGGTATTTTGGTAGCACCCTAGGCTGGCTAGACAGCTTGGGTATTTTCCTCCCCTCTTATTGGTAATTATGCAGAAATAATTGCATCCAGCTCCAATTCAGTTATTTGTTTTCAATAGCAGCTACTTTGGCACAACATATCGTCCAGCAGATGGTTTCATTTGTTTCTGATCTCATGAGCCAACTGAAGTCAGCAGTTGTGCTGTATTTCCTTCAAAGTCCTATCTGCGTTCAATCAGCCATGCTGCCAGGCTTAGCAGCCTTGCTTTGAAAGCAAGTCTTCCCTTTTTAAAAATCATCCAGCTCTACAAAGAAGTAGTTTTATTCAATTACTGTCAGGCCTTCAAAATGAGGATTGGAGACACCTCTATTCTAGTATAACAGTAATTGTTTACTCTCCATGCCAAGGGGGGAAAACTCTTCTGCCACTTGCTTTATTTAAAGCAGTGCAATCTTTGGCAGGTCATTTAGGTGCCGCTTCTAGCACAGAACACTCCAAGTATATTTTGATAGTTCTGTTATGCACCATAGTACATAAGGCTTGCTCAACAGAGCAAAGCTTTTCAGTCCAGTATCTGATTCTTACATTGGAAGAAGACGTAATAATAAGCATTATTTAGGAAAAAAGAAGGAACTCAACATATTAAATCTTTTTTTTCCAAAACTGAATGAATAACATGGCTATGCATTTTAGAACTGGAGCTTTGAGAAATAATCTGATGATGAATTTGTTAAAGGAACCATCAGTCTCTATGAAGGAATTACGAAAAGGTTTAGAAGACTTTATTGGTGTATACCTTTATCTCACCCTCCAAAAATTAATAAAAGCAAAACAATCCATCCATAAGAGGAAATACATATTTTCTCAGTTCAAGAGTTTCTACAGCAGTTTCTTAATTACTTATTTTGAAATGCGTTTAATTACAGTATTTCCTGCATATTTGTGATGCAAACCTGCACTTACAGATGACAATGGAAAACTCCTGGAAAACTCCTAGTAGTGTCAGCATATCCTCCCATATGATTTCTGTACTATGGTTTTTTCAGTGCTAAACCTGATTTTGCATATGTGGTTGAAATTATCAGGCAAAAGAATAGAGAAATCAATTAAATAGATTTGATTCTTAAGAATTCTTAAGCATTATTGCTTCCATAGTTGGGATTTAATGATTGGTTTCTTTGGAGAGTGGATTACTGTATTTCTACTAAAAGTTTCTTTGTCTCTGTGTTTTGAAAAGGTACTTGGGTTCTGGCACAGCTCCCTGGAGTGGTATGGTCCTCATGGAGGTTGGCTTACTCAGTGGTTTCTCTGTGTCACCAGATTTCGTTCCATTAGACAATACAGTTAAGAAGATGGAAAAGGATAATGGAAAAGTCAACCTATACTTAGACTCTGTAAGTTGAAAATAACAAAGAAATGTGTTTGTGGTGATCTTAATCTTGACTCTGCCATTGTTTGGTTTAAATTTGGAAAGATGTTATGATTATATTACTTGGGGAAATCAACATCTGCTATTCCCATTGAATTCATAGTTCCAGTGTTTTTTAGTGAGACAGATAACATAGGTACGACTCAGTTATATTTGTAAGGGATTTCTAGGTTAGGATAAGAAGGCAGACATTTCAAGAAGTCTGTGATTTGGCCAAAATGACTACAAATGAGATAAGCATCTTTAGATGCATCCTGACTTCAAGTCTTTAGAAATGGACTACTGATGAGCTGGAAGTTCTTACCCTTTCCATGAAACCACCATCACCAGGGCTCTCAGGATGTTTCTCTTCTGTTTTTCTAGCTAAATGAAACACAGGTTTGTATGGATATTCCAGCTGTGAGGGACTTCAAAGTGGCAAATACCCAGGATGCTTCAGTGACCGTCGTGGATTACTATGAACCCAGTAAGTGTCAGTCATTCCAAATGGATCTTAGTGATTCAGAAGTTTAAAATAAAGTTTATTTTCATGGAAATATGACAAATTTTAGTGAAGAGAAAGCCACATCAAACAGAAATGTACCTTTTTTTATTCAACTGCAGCCTTTTTGGACATTGACATGCCAAATTTTCTAACAGATAGTAGTGTTTTCCCATGTATATGTTTACTGTCCTAATGGGCTGGTTCCTCAGCTGGTGTGAAGTGACATAACTTAAATGTCAGATGGTGTAAATTGGCTTCAGTCTTTCCCAGTGTGTTCCCAAAACTACCAAAAATGAGGTACAAAACTTCACTGTGGTTCACTTACCAAGTTAATAGTTATCTTTCAAGTAGCTTTTTCATCTGTTTCTTGTTTAAACTGAGAGTCCTTTGCTGGAGAAAATGCCAGTGTTTTGATTTCTATAGTTATGTAAAAAAAATGTACATGGGAAAAACAGTTTCCATTTTTTTTTGCTTTGTGTTGAGTGTTTTGTCATGTAGTGTGTGTTTTAGAGAAAGGCAGCAATGTACAAAGCTCTTGGGCAAAGTGAAAAGCAAAGAAAGATTACAAGCTGCTGGAGGAGATATCAGAAAGGTTTTCATTACACCAGCCAGTCGAAGCATTATTAAGGATTTGGGCTTGGTTTGAGATAAGGCATAAAAAAGTTGTATAGGCAGTTTTCTCCATGTTAGTATGTTTTAGCACAAGACAACTAAATACACTATGGTGTGTACTACTTTAGCTAGCTGAAGGTCACATTTATTTTCTGTAAGCTGAAACGTTTCTTCAATCACAGAATTTTAAACTAAAATAGGAAATTAGTGGATGTAACTACACTGTCCATTTAAGTCCTAGTGGCTTAAAAGCTTAGAGCAAATTTATTTGAGACAAATACATAACATTTAGAATCTATGGCTAAAATGAATTTCCACATGCTTCAGTTTCTAGGAGGAGAGCTCAGGACCTGGTCTTTTATAAGAATGCTGTTAAATAGGCTAATGAATATGTGTATTAAAAAGTCACATATAAATGCATATGTGTAAATATTGGTATTCCATTTAAAAACATTTAGTATCCATAAATTCTAAATTAATAAATCAACATTAATTTAAAGATAGGAATTAATATCCTTAAGGACTAAAGTTTATATGACATAGTGATCAGTAGAAAGCTTTGACTGTAAGAAAAAGATCGCTTCGAATATTATTTTACAAGACACCATTCCTGTTACTGTGTAGCACAGACATATTACGGGTCAGCATATATACATACACCATGATTCTGAGTTCTCCTGAGAGAACTCCACCTGATCTAATACAGGAGTGTGCTTTTATCTTAACCTGTTGTTTTCCATCACTTATAGTTGGTGACCCAAGCTGCAGGTGTGTATTTTATGTGATGGTGACAGTCAGATTCATGTCATATTCAGAGCTAGGAGATACATAAGGACTCCTCATGCTCTGGCATTTATCAAAGATGTTATGTTTGTGTGGCAGATACCACACCTGGCATAGGTGTAAGAACCGGCTTGGATGCCGATACAGCAGTGCCAGCAAGGAGATCTGAAAAGGTTAATGTACACAGCTACAGCACGTTCAAACGACTACCCCTTCTCTTACCTGACTGTGTTCAGAGCTAGCTGAGTGTCACTGCTGGGTCAGTGTTTTTGCCTGTGAAGGTGGCTCTTTAATTTTTTTAATATCTTGAGGCTTGAAACAAAGCTGAATATCATTTAAATTAAAAATTACTAATAATAAAAAAAGTAATTGCAGTGTCCCTAGTTGAAATGCAAAACCTTCAAACCAAAAAAAAAGCCACCGTGGGAATGAAGCCTTGCAAAAGGTTGTTCTGTGAGCAATTGCCACGCACGGATGGTTCTGAAATGAGCAGGATTTTCCAGGCTTCTAGTCCGTTTAGCTCTTTTGCATCCCTTTGGTGAACGGAGGAGCAGAATGCAGGACCAGGAACTGCGTGAGGTGGACAGTCCCAGGTTCAGGAAGCTGAAGCTCTCAAACATGATAGTGAGAGAGAAAGCATCAGCTGTGGGAGACCTGTCTCCTAAACGTCACAGCCAGTGACCCGCCAGGTAAAGCCTCCGAATCCCTTTGCCATGGGGGCTGCTGTGCAGGTAGGGACAAAATGCCTTTCAAAATGTTTGGCCGAGGTTTGTGAACAGATTGGGTCTAACAGTTGAGATATGAAAGCGTGCCTCTCACCAAACATTTCCCTGAGTATACTGAGAACATTTTGTTGTTTTCGGAGGAGACCAAAGGCTAGTGCCTCAGCTCGAACACCCGCTCAGATTTTGCAGTGTGTGATGAGGTCTGCGTCAGAGTTTAGTGCATCCTTTAAAAATGCTTTCTTTGTGAAGCTGCATTGCTGGTTGGTTCTCAGAAGTTCGTTGACTAATGTTAACTAACCTTTCTGAACAGGGAGAAGAGACAGAAGTGATGCAAAGTGTAATCCCTTGTGACTTCTGTCAAAGTGATTGCAGCCTTTGCCACCGAGACGGTTCTCCGGCTTTGCTTCAGCACTCCTCGTTGGCCTCCTTCTTCTGTGTGCTGTTTGTCCTCCATGTGAATTTGCTGTGCAGTTGGGTGCTGTAAAAGGAAACAGATTATGTTTCACATCTAAGGTTTCCATAAATTATCCAAAGAAAATTTTATGTTCGGATACCAGCCCATCCTTAGTGATTACAGTGACCAAACTCCTGCTGCGTTCAGGGAGAGCTGGGCTGGCCCATATGCTGAATTTCTGGCTGTGCCAGAAAATGTCTTTAAGTGTCTGCTGGAAAAACTTTCCAAGCGTTCGTTTCATACTGAAGTTATTTTCTAAAGAAGCACAGAGTTACCGAGAAAGCAGTCTGAAAAAACACAAGCCTCACTCCATGTTCCCACTCCTTTTTTTACCCCAGCTCTCAGTTGTGCGTGCTTTTTAAGGATGGATGTTAGTTCACTGTGCTTTTCTGAAACACTGTCTGCTTCTCTGGTGGAGTGTTGGTAAGCAGAGCACTGGGAGCATGGTATCAGAGCTCGCTTTGTTCTGTTCTGCAGACGTGACTACGTTAATATTGAATTTCGCTGTATGCTCTCATGGGGAATAATATGAAAAATAAAAGGAGCTGGCTTCAGAGCGTATCCAAGAGCCAAAAAGTGTTGCATTCATAAACTGCTGAACACTCCAGAAAATTGTCATTCTTTTTTTTAATCTTTACAGAGAAGCTAGGTGGGTTTTTTGCCAATTCGTAAGTTAATCATGTTTGAAAATCGGGCCTCAGGATGTTCTGATGCATTTTACTCTGAAAGGCTTTTACTGTAAATGTATCAAGGATGGAGTCTATGTCTGAGACTCAATTTTTCCAGGGTTATCCAGGAGCAAACATAATTCTCATTCCATATGAAAACGCTGGTGTCCACTGGCACATTTATGGCCAGCAGGATGGAGCTTGCTTTGATCCCTTTCCGGTTTTTGGAAGTCTTCTAGAAATGTCGTTCTGGGGCACCACTTACGTCTTATGTTTGCAGTGTTTCCTCGTCATGCCCCTAAGCAGTCGTTTGCAGCTCTCTGTGCTGTGTCAGCTGGTTGCCCCGAATCCCATCGTGCACCCAGCTCCTGCTGTTGGCTGTTGGAGAGGATTTTAGGAGGCGTGGGCTGCGCATCATCCATCAGAACAACTGACGTGCTGGCTTAGCTGTAAGCACATCCGTGTATGCTGGAGTGCTGTACTGGGGTGGGATGGGGAGGAGGGCTGGTGAAGGGCAGCAGGCACTTTTACACCCAGACCTGCTCTTTGCACAGGGGAGGATTGCAGGTCTCTGAATGTGTGAGCGTGTGAGCTGGGGAGCTCTTCCCTCCCGAGTGAGCGTACGAACATCCTCCTGACTGGCAGTCCACTCTTCCTCCTTGAACACTGCCCAGGATAGCTTGTGCTTGCTGCTTTTTGATAAGGAAGCCAAGCCAACAATATTCCTAGTTACTAAAACGAGGTGACGAGGTGTCACAGCAGCTGGCAGAGGCAGACATTTCAGGCTGTTGGGTCCCTTCCTTTCACGCCTTTGTGAGACACAGTGTGTACGTGTGCACATGAAGTAACACGGCAGTCACTTTCCTTCAGCAGTTTCTGATTCTTATTCAAATTTTGCTACGGCTCAAAATGTGTGTTTTTGCATTTTATGCTCATCTGTGCTTTTGTTCACGAAGGAGATAGGTGCGTGGTAGGGTGGGAGGAGGCTGAACTCCCTGAACTGGGCGCCCTCGGATACCGAGGCGTGGATTTCTAACTGCAAAACCAGTTTAGGTGGATTTATTAGTTTCTAGCTGTCTTTAGAATTTGCAATGTTTTTCACAAAGGTGGGGTTCTGTTCTGTCTCTCTGCCAGAGCTTAGGCCTGGTTGTTGGTAGTCAGGTCAGGCTTTTCCCTTCTCTCTGGCACCCTTTGGGTCTGGTGCCGTAACACGAGTGCCCGTGCTGCGCCGACCCACAGGACGTAAGATCCTATTTACTGAAATCCAAAGCACTCCTTAGTCAGTAGGATGCAGGATCCGACCCTCTGTAAGTCATGCCCTTGGTTACACTGCTCCAAAGCTAACAGAAGCCACGATACAAACTGAAACACATCTTTGCATCTCTAATTCTTTACTTGTGTGTGGGAGCATAGATTGAATTGTGCCAAGAGTAAGACCTGGAAAAAATTCGTACTCTAAATTGGGATGTGTTTTGCTGTGGTTTTGATTTTTCTGGTGGCCTGGGAAGGCAGGTCTTCTTTTGCCTTTGGGGACAGTAGCCTTGCCATGTAATTTGCCTCCATTTAATATAATTTCAAGAACCCAAAGCTCACATGCTTTCAGTTTTTACTATATGTAGAGCTTCTAAGAGGGACATTGATACCTGATTAATGTTAGGAGGCTTGTTTTCTAGGCTAGATATACTGGAGATAAACTACTCCTTTGTAGTAGATAGGAGGAATAAATTAGTTTTATTTTGCAGGCAGTCCCAGCTTCCTGAATATCCTCCAGAAAAATGATTTTAAACTGCTCAGCCTAATTTCACACAGTGCAGCTTTTATTAGTATTCCCTTACATTCGTTTCTGAGACAAACAACATGTTTTTAAATGACTCTTGGCTTCCTTGCACACCCTGCTAAGAAGCATCAGTCCTGATGCACCATGTCATGGAATTTGTTGCAGTCAGTGAACAAACATCCTCTTTTATTTTACTTTTTTGTATACAGCAGGCATATCATTGCAGACATCCAAATCTGCCTCTGTACTCAGATATTTTAAAGGACCAATGTACATCCTATTGCACCAGGTGGCCTTTAACATTCCTACCATGATGCCTTCAGTCTCTTTGTAGTTGCGGCTAGTGCTTTGAATGAGTTGCAGAGGATAAATTTTGTGTTGGCAGTGAATAGAACAGAGGAAAGGGAATATTATGTGGCATAGTGGCTTTTTTTGTTTGTTTGTTTTCATCATCATTGTATGGGAACCTTTACACAAATGCTCAGCATATATATTTTTCCATTCCTCTGTAAAGTCAGGTTTTGGTGTTAGAGGGGCCATGCTGCCGCTGAAATTATTAAGAAACCTTACAGAAAAAAGTTTTTAGGAACTCTTTAGGAACAAGATCTTTAAGGAGCTTTAAGGAATGATTCTAAAAGCAGTCAGGAAAGGTATTTTGTGATGGAGTCTTCATTTTGCATTGCCTGAATGTTTCTGTGTGGTTGCTGTCTCTCTGAAATGTGTATGTTCTCTGGTACTCCCTGTGCCCCTTCCAGCCACAGTGTCAATGGACATGGTCTGTGCAGGGCCATTAATGTGCTAATGAATCAGTAAGAAGTCACTGTTGAAAATCGAACTTCAGATTCATAAATTGTTTATAATCAGTTTTTAAATATCCTATCAGTATTTCTCTGGATGTGTTGTTCAGCTTGGTGTCAATATTGACAATTTTTGGTTCAAGCAGAGCCCTGTAGAAGTCATATGCATATACATAGCCCTTATATAGGCTCCAGTGTACTACAGTGTGCAGTGTAAGTGCAATTAAAAACATACAAGATCTTTATGAAGTGCCCAAACCAAAAACATCGTGTCATGTTCTGTTTTTCAAAATATGCAGTTAGGTTTTTAGGAAATATTATATTTGGAAAGCAGCTGGTGGCTAATGGCATAATTTTTCTATCTCAAACACTAACAAAGAGTATTAAATTTAATTCTAATAGCCCAAAATGTTTCTGTCTTTCTTCCTCTACCATAAATCTTTAGCAGTGAACCATCTTTATGTGTTTAATCCTCTAAATGCATAGAAGATTTTGAAATTAGGTGTTCCCACTAGTAATTTATCCATAAAATATAGCAGCAGTTATGTGATGGTGTTTTTGAGTTATTATTAGATTCTCCTTTTCCCCATATCAAAATATTTTTCTTCAATGTTGTTTCTTGCTCAGTTTATTGTATTTTTGTGTGCCACTTGGAGATATCATTGCACTAATGCCATTCTGTGCAATAAAGTCTTGACAGTATGCTGTATTAGATCAATCCAGTGATTATTTTTTCTAATGGATGGCACGTTATTTTCGGATGTGTATGACCATTAATTGCTTATATGCTACATTTTCGCCACCAGAACTCCAGTGTTAAGATTTCTCTTTAATTTCAAATAGTACATTTTATTTCTGTATTTCTTAGTGGTTACCCAAAAATCTTCATCAGCCTTGCTCAGATCTTATGATGTTATGTTATGAACTGATTTTTTGTTGTAGTTTTTAATATTGTTGAGTGGGATACTAATATGAGGAAGAAAATATAAAAAACGTTGTCTCAAAGTAAGTATCATATAAGCAGGTGTAATGCACCATACGTCAGCTGTCCTGCTGGCTGTGGTATCCCTTCTTTTTCCATGTCAGGCCTTAAGCGATTTGAACTAAAATTCTTGGCTGCCTTGGTAGTAGCCAGTAGTCAGATACTGGCTTTCATCTAGTTTAGAATCTTCATATGCATTTCCACTTGTGGACGGATCAGAACTGGTAGAAGAAGAATGCTTTTATAAGCTGTTTTGAGCAAACAGAGGTGAACTAACATAGCAGCTATGCAAACTGCTTCTGTCTTTTCAAATAATAAAACAGATGTTAAGGAACTAGACTGCTTCACAGGATTTTTGAAAATTGTCATTGATTTATTTTTCTTATATAAAATTTTCAATAGCTCTTTTTAAATTCTATTAAAGATGACTTTTACTAGTATATGTCTAGTGTTTGCTTGACAATGGAGTTGCCTGCAGTAGATCAAAGTTTCACTGTCAAAGTTTCTATACACTCTTCTCCAGCGTGTCTCAGAGGCTCCCTCGCGGGTGTTTTAAAGCTCATCATCTGGTGGTTCCCATGGTCCTGCAGATCATTGTTTGGGACTTTTCCAACTACAGGTCACCTGATTTTAAAAGCATATTATTTAACTCAGCATGAAGTTGGAAGATTTTCTGTTATCTTCAGCAGAAGTAGTGTAATGGTATTCCGTGATGGACTCAGTTCAGGTCAGTTCAGGACCACTCAGTGTGGTCCTGGGAACCCTGGGGACTTGTCCTCTTCCCGTGGACAGGAGCCAACCTTTCA